TGGCATGTGGAATTTTTCTTGAGTTCTACATGTCGAAATATGCTAACAAGATTTTTAGTGGAATTTTCAGAGCTCTAGAAATAATTTTAACCAATTAAAAAGGAGCACAAGCAAATATTTAAATCCATGGAAATTCTTTTCCCTTTTTCTTTTTCCTTTTTCCCTCCTTTTTCCCCTAATGGGCCGCCGGCCCATTTCCATCTCTCTCCCGCGCCCTTGCTGGGCCGGCCGAATGCCCGCTAAGCCCAGCTAAGCCCGCGCCCCCTCCTCTCTCTCCCGGGGTCGCCGACAGGTGGGGGCCACCTGTCGGGCCCATCCCCAACCTCCAGCTGGCGCCGCCGCATCCCGCAACCGCCGCCCCACTCGCTCTCTCACCTCCCGGGCCACATCGCCCACGTCGCCGCCTTCCCCCGCGTTCCCCGCGCCCACTCCCTCTCTCTCCCGCCCGCGCCCACGCTCGAGACGGCCGGGATTCGAATTTCGAATCCCGCCTCTCTCTCCTCCCCACCTCTCCCCACTCCGCCGGCGAAATCGCGGCCATCCCGGCCACGATCGACCCTTGTGAGCCTATATAAAGCACCCCCGTTTCCTCCTCTCTCATTTTCGTTTTGCAATCACCCGCTCCCGTGCTCTCTTAAGCCCTAGTGTCGTCGCCCACCTCTCCGCCGCCTCCGCCGTTGCTCTGGCCGCCACTAGCTGCCGCGCCAAGCCGCGCCGTCGACGCCGTCGCGTTCGCCGTCGAGCGGGCCACCTCGTCCACCCCTCCCCCGTCGGATTTCGCCGCCGGAACCCACTCCGCACCGTGCGGATGATTAGAAGATATAAAATAAAGTCTGCCTTAGCCCCGACCACGACTTGGGATCCAGGCTCATCTTAGTCCTTATAATTTTACATTCTTTTGCAAAGAAGAGCGTCGAAACATACTAGATATATAAAATATCGCTTTATCAAAGACATCTTCAAGAAGCTCGTCTAAGAACAATTGCCATAAAATGCGCAGGGGTGTGACCTCAGGACCAGCTTGGGTGAGGGGTGTGCTCAGCGGGATGCTGTGAAGCAGTCCCCTCAGCCATAAATGAAACAGGTTTACGCGTTGTTGGTATTTCTTAACGACATTACTAGAAATATAATTCACAGCAATGGCGCAGAAATACTCCTGGTATATTATGGTTACAGAGTTCATCCGCAAGCGCACGGATATACCATTGTAGCATTTCACCCCGAGAGTATTCCAAGGGTACTATATTTATTTAATCCCGTGGGAAGATCATAGTAGAGAGAATTGTACTAATAGTTTATATGTTACTTGTAATAATCATGTCTAAGCAGGGGTTAATATAATCTATAGGGTAGAGTGACACACAAGCATAGAACTACTCATTCTCATACTAAATTATCTAAGCTAAGTGGAAAAAAATATAAAAGAATATATTCCTATACTTCTAGTATACATAGTATACATACATTCTAGTTATAAGATTAACTAGCTAATACCCTCTTTCCGATGCCCTCCTAGTACTTCGAGAAGCCACCTCTGGCTGCCGAGTTCCTTACCATAGCCCGTCATGACAATACAACCGGGGCTAAATACGGAGGAGTATCCCCCAGGAAATTAACTTAGGACTATATACACGCGTGGAGGAATACTCGTACCGAGCTGTCACCATCAGCGGCCCACCTTTCATCCGCAGCATATAACCCCAAATAATGATACCCAATAATCTAGACACCATACCTAAACTACCAGATACTACTCTAATATCATCGTCATGACATAGAGTAATTGCAATAGCAAACATTATACTCGTACCTATGCATCTCCCAGATAAGCTAGCAGTATAATCAGTATAACATGAACATATAGTAAAGTTGTCATTCATATACTCGGAAAGTATTTCAATACTAGAAATGCATAAAGAATAGTATTCTAAATAAAGTACAAAGCTTACAAAAGAGAAGAGGATAGCTACTAGAGCCATACCCGAACTCTTCCGAAGGCTTTCGGACTCTGATTTCTATTCTATTCCTACTCCACTAGCTTGAGACTACTAAACTAAACTTGAGAGAATATGAGAGAGCTCTTGCTTGAAGTGTGTGTTGAAATGGAGAGAGTGAGCTCCTTATATAGCCTCCCAATGACGGTTTGTGACAGTTGGAATGGTCTTGAGAGAATATGAGAGAGCTCTTGTTTGAAGTGTGTGTTGAAATGGAAAGAGTGAGCTCCTTATATAGCCTCCCAATGACAGTTGTGACAGTTGGAATGGTTGGAAATACCCTCCAACCGTCATTGGGAGCTAATCCAAGCCGTCCAGGCAAAGCCCTGGATCAAACGGCTGCGAGGGGGGTTCGGTCGAACCATGGGCTAGGCCATCCTGGCCTAACTTCGGCAGGTGGCTCCCTTTGTTGCTCCTCTCCGTAGACTTGTGAATTTTGGCCCAGTTCATCGTGTCAATTCTGAGTTCTTGGCCCATTCATGTATAAGTCTGATCCTCGACATCGTCCGATTAATTGATCATCTGATTTGATGTCGATTCTCCTCCACTTTATGGTTATTTTCAGCAAAAGGTTAGTAAACCTAATACTAGTGGAATATTATTATTCTAACTTAAATATGCATTGCAAGTATAACTAGTTCTTCTCTATTTTGGTAATATTGACGGTTGAAACTGATCACTAACGGCCGTCAACACGCGTCCAGTCCGGAGCCGAAAAGACGTGGACAAGACGCCAACGCTGACTCATTAGGATCGGTGGCATCCTGGACGTGTGTCGCACATGCCGTGCGCTACCTGAAGTAGCCAAACGGGCGGAAACGGAACCGTGGCACTGTTTTAAGCAGGCTCGGTCTCACCAAGCCCACCACTCCCCACATGGAGGGTTAGCTAGCGTGACCCAACTGTCTCGAACAGAAGCCCGGGTGCCCGGGGCAATATAGGTTTCAAATCTTAGTGGGTTACTCAAAGACTATGAAAGGAGACCAGCCAACATCGACAAAGACGGTTGATAAGACAACACAAGAAAGTGGATTTGTAACATTGCGAGCCACTCCTTGGTCTATAAAAGGAATGGGACAAGCTACGGATTGAGGGTTGGATTTTTTGGATCAGACCTTCTTCTTTGTAGACTGGAAAGGCGTCTCTTGTTCTTAGCTGATATGAGAAAAACAACAAAACCAACACAGGAATAGGGTATTACATCTCCGGGTGGTCTGGACCTGTATAAACTCTTTTTTCTCTTGCTCAGCGGGGAAGTCGGGCCCCACAAACCTTCTCTTTGTTTAGCCTTTTCCATCGTATTTCACCACTAACCCCTGGTTGAATCTTCAACCTCGGGGAGGGGTCTCCACTCCCCGTTGTCCGAAGAATCGCCCCCTCGATAGTGGCATATTATAGAGGGAGATAAAGTCCATAGCAAATCGTTGAATTAGGCCCCGTTTTAAACTCCAAATCTAAACTTCAATTTCTTCGTTTTCCGTTAGCACGCTTCCCAAACTGCTAAACGGTGTATTTTTTCAAAAAAATTTTGTATAAAAGTTTCTTTAAAAATTCAAACGAACCCATTTTTCAAGTTTATAATAATTAATTGATCATGTGTTAATTGCTTGCTCCGATTTCCATGGCACTGAAAAGCTCAATTTTTATGCTGCATCCAATAAAGCATTAGAGTAAACTCAATGGCATATAATATATTCTCTTATAAAGGAGCAAAACCAAAATGCATATAGTGCCTATCTATGTTTTCCTTTTGTCCAACACGTGTTACTAGTAAGTGTCACGTCCTGATTTTCCTTCGGAGATTAAAAATCATTAAATAATGTAATTCTAAAATTTATATTAAATTTTAAATGAGTTAAACAAGTGAATTAACGTGGGTAATAAAATTTCCTTTAAAAATCATGGCTGGAAATATTTTTCTAATATTCTCCATGCCCTAAAGCATTTTCTGAAATTTTCCGTGAACTTTTAGAGCTCAAAAAATAATTTTAGTAAAACAAATTTCATTCAATCAATTAAATAAAATAAAAAACTAATTAAAATCCCCATCCTTGCTCTTGCTCTGCTCTGTTTTTGGCCCATCCTCACCCACAATCCTGTTATTACTCCCCTAAGCTGGCGCCAGCTCAAGCACCCCGAAAAAAGAAAAAGAAAACTCAAATCCTGCGCTATGAACTTGGACGAGTATAGCCAGGATTTGATTTTTTTTTCACGGAGTGAGTATTGCTTATATACTTCTACCTAATTTATATAATCTGCTAGTACTATACTTACTCTAAGAGCAGGTACAATAGTAGGCTATAAGTCAGATGTAAATATATTTTAAGAAGATAAATAAGGAGAGAGAAGAGTATGGGCCTACAGATTTATAGCCAGCTGTAGCACGAACTCTAAGACGTAGTGTGTGTATGACAGGTGGGACCAGTTATTAATAGTGTAGTATGTAACTATTGTATGAACGAGCTATTAAATTGTCTATAGATGAATTGGAGCTAGTAGTGGGCTACACTATTAAACTTGCTCTAATCCTATTCTGACGTGGCCACCCGCTCCGACGTGTACAGCCGCCACGTCATTCGGGGACGTCAAGGCTCCACTTTGTCCGCCACGTCAGGCGTCGCCGCCGTGTCGGCTCCGCCGGACTCTCAAAATCCCAAGTCTCAACTCGATCAGCCTCTCTCGATACTCGATTCGATAGTGACAAGAGGAAAAGCGCGGCTCTCTCCGTCTCCGGCGGCGGTGACGCGAGGAGGAGGAGGAGGAGGAGCCCGCGCCGCCGGGCCAAGCCATCATGGACGAGGAGCAGCTGCGCGCGCTGCTCCGCGACCTGGACGCGCTCAAGCAGCGCCCCGACCCCGCCGCCATCGATCGGGTAAGCCCGCCCACTTCGCGCCGCGATTGGCTTCTTCTGACCTGTGTGGATCTGGTGGTGGTTTTGACCTGTGGATCGGATCTGTGGTTGTTTGCTTAGATGCGAGAGCGCGTGGCGGGAATGGTGACCCCGGCCGCCGCTGCACGGTCCAAGATCAAGGTACGAAGATCTGGCGCAAATACTAGGGTTTTGGTTCCCTCCTCCCCTTGGTTGGGGGGGGGGGGAATGGCCGAATTGGAAATTGGGTGTGAAAAGCTTACAGTCTATGTGTCAACTGATGCGATGCAGGATATGAGCTCGGAGGTGGTGGACAGCAATCCCTACAGCAGGCTCATGGCGCTGCAGCGTATGGGGATCGTGGACAACTACGAGCGCATCCGTGATTACTCCATCGCCATCGTTGTAAGCACAGCTCCTGCTCAATATTGCTTTGGGACAGCCATATTAGCTTAACCTACCTTCTGAAGGAAGATTGCATATGCTCAGTGTTAGTTTTGGACAGACTTATATGTGACCCTACCTTCTGAAGGACACACACTAGGCCTCTAAACCTGCCGTGAAAGAGTGGTTCAATCGAGTTATTTCGTAAGTCATAATACTTAATTGACAAACATTTTAGTATTAGTTTTACCATTAGTTGTCACATTTATTCTCACCTGCACTTGGCAGTAGGAGCTTTCAGAATTACCCCTTTCAGAGCTTCCAGAATTACCCCTTTCAGTCTTACAAACATATGGTATGGTTAGACAATGTTGTCAGGTTCTCGGTTCTCTCACTAATACCTGATTAAATGGGCAAGACCGATGATGGTTTGTTTGGCTTCTTGAATTGTCATTTCTGCACCAAAGTCAAATTTTGTCACATGCCTGTTAGATGTGTATTAGATAGGTTGTATTTATGGTTTTATGTCTTTTGGCTTTCCATGTTCCTGTCTTTTGGTTTTCCTTGTATCTGTTTATATATTTGGGCTATTGCCCTCTGGTGAATACAAGTCGTGTTCATAACATGGTATCAGAGCAGGTTTAGACTTCTCGTCTTCTTATAATTTTCTCTCTCGACTTCTCCATGATTTTCTTTGAGGATTATCGGCCTCTTCATCTTGAAGCCATGATGTTCCTCTTGATCTAGTATGGTGTCGCTGAGAATCGTTCATCTCTGCTCCCCAACGTCGTCAATTTCTTCAGAACAGTGTAGAGGGCTGGTGGTTGTCCTCATCACCGGCTGTCATCGCTTCTTGTCGCCGACCGCCGTCGCCCCTCGTCGTGGCCTCCGGCCGCCGTCGGAACCCGTCGCTGCTAGTCGCGGGCCTCCGGAACCCGTCGCTGCTCGTCGCTGGCCTCCGGCTGGCGCCGCTCGTCACGGGCCTCCGGCCGCCGTCGCCCCTCGTTGTAGGCCTCCGGACGTCGTCGACCCTGGTCGCGGGCGCCTCCGCCTGGGTTGTAGGGCGCCGTCGCCTGGGTCGCTCGGTGTCTGTTTCCCCGATCCGGATCTGGATCGGGAGGTATAAAAAAACGAAAAAAAAAGAAGAAAAGAAAAAGGCTTCTCTGGCTCTGCTACTGTTGTGCTCTGATCGCACGTGGTGGCTCTATATTTTGGGCTGAGGCATTAAAAAAAAAAAACTTGCTGCCGCTTGTTCTGTTTGCTCTCTCGCCGTCGCTTCTTCCTTCTTGATGATGTCGTCTTTATCCGGCACTGTGTCTGTTCCTCGTTGCCCAGTTCTTTTTGATGGTGTCAACTATAGTCATTGGGCTCAGCACATGCGTCTTCATATGCGTGGTCAGCGTCTTTGGGATGTTTTATCTGGTGAGCTACCTTTTCCTCCTTGCCCTATTGCTCCAACTATGCCTTCACTTGCAAGTCAAGCTACTGATGACGATAGAGCAAAGGCTAAAGAGCAGTTTGATGATGCCATGGAAAATTATCAGAGTCAGTTTGCTTTATACAAGGCTTGGTTGGATGAGGATGCTCGAGCTTCTGCTATTCTTGTAGCTAGTATGGAGATTCATCTTACTGGTGAGGTGGTTACTCTTACTTCAGCTCATCTCATGTGGACACACCTACGTGATCGTTATGCTCCTACTAGTGATGCTCTTTACCTTGCTATGGTGCGTCAGGAGCAGTCCTTGCAACAGGGGGATAGTACGGTGGATGAGTTCTATACACAGTTATCCTCTATTTGGCGTCAGCTTGATTCTTTGGGACCGGCTATTTGTCATACCTGTCAGTGCTGTCAGCGTCAGCGTTCTCACATGGATCTTCGTCGGATCTACGATTTTTTCACACGCCTCCGATCCGAGTATGAGTCCACTCGTGCACAGTTACTTGCTCGACATCCGCGTGTTACTATCATGGAAGCTCTTACGGAGATTCGTTCTGAGGACATTCGTCTTCGAGAGGCGGGTATTCTACCACTTCCTTCTTCGGTGTTAGCTATTCGTACTGTGGCTTCTTTGGCTTCTTCCACACCGGCTGTTAGTTCTACAGTTTCTTCCTCTTAATCATCGGCGCGTCCTCCTGCCACAGTTGTGCCATCTGGTAGGGGTCACCTTCACTTCACCTATTATGATAAAGATGGACATGTGGAGTCATTTTGCTTCAGGAAGAAGGATTTACGTCGTGGCAATTCTTCGAAGGGTACTAGTGGTTCTTCTCAGAAGAGTGCTGGAGGTTCAGATTCACAGGAAATTCTTATGTTACTTCGTCGCCTTACTGCTTCTGCTGCGACAGGTTCTGTTGGTTCTGTGGCTCTACCTTCTGCACAGTTTGGTTCTGCTGTTCTTGGTTCTTCATCTTCTACTGAGGGACCATCTTCTGCTCCAGGTACTATTCCATGGATTCTAGATTCTGGTGCTTCCTTCCATATGACTCATGATAGATCTAGTCTTTCATCTATATGTTCTCCTTTAGTTCCTACTACTGTTCATACTGTCGATGGTACTCCTCTTGCTGTTGTTGGTCGCGGGACTCTTTCTACTTCTTCCTTCAGTGTCCCTGCTGTTTCTTACGTTCCCAAATTGGCCATGCAACTCATGTCAGCCGGCCAACTTACGGATCATGGCTGTCGTGTAATTCTTGATTCTGACTCTTGTTGTGTCCAGGATCGTCACACGGGTCTCCTGGTTGGTACTGGCCCTCGCCGCCGTGATTCTCAGCGTCTTTGGGACCTTGACTGGCTTCGTCTTCCTTTCGCTGCGCCTGCTAGTCTTCTTGCTTCCGCTGCTTCCTCTATGGTGTCTTTTGCTCAGTGGCATCATAGGTTGGGACATCTTTGTGGTTCTCGTCTGTCGGCTTTAGTTCGTCGTGGTCTTTTAGGGTCTGTGTTAGGTGATGTCTCTTTAGATCAATGTCAAGGTTGTAAGCTTGGAAAGCAAATACAACTTCCCTATCATTCTAGTGAGTCTGTATCTAAGCGTCCTTTTGATCTTGTTCATTCTGATGTGTGGGGCCCAGCTCCTTTTGTTTCCAAAGGAGGTCATCGCTATTATATCATATTTATAGATGACTTTTCTCGTCATACTTGGATTTACTTCATGACTCATCGCTCCGAAGTTTTGGCTATTTATAAATCTTTTGCTCGCATAATTCGCACTCACTTTGATTCTCCCATCCGCGTGTTTCGTGCTGATTCCGCTGGTGAGTACCTTTCTATAGAGTTGCGCGTTTTTCTTTCCGAGCAGGGTACTCTTTCTCAGTTTTCTTGTCCGGGTGCTCATGCTCAGAATGGTGTAGCGGAACGTAAACATCGTCATCTTCTTGAGACTGCTCGTGCTCTTATGATTGCTTCTTCTGTTCCTCCTCATTTTTGGGCTGAGGCTGTTTCCACTGCTAATTACTTGACCAACATCCACCCTTCTTCTGCTCTACAGGGTGGGATTCCTATTGAGCATCTTTGTGGTCAGCCTCCTGATTATTCTAATCTGCGTCTTTTCGGTTGTGCTTGCTATGTGCTTCTTGCACCACGTGAGCGTACAAAGTTGACGGCTCAGTCTGTTGAGTGCGTTTTTCTGGGGTATAGTGCTGAACATAAGGGTTATTGTTGTTGGGATCCTGTAGGACGGCGGATGCGGATTTCTCGGGATGTTACTTTTGATGAGTCTCGTCCTTTCTTTTCGCGTCCTAGCTCCACATCATCTCCCGATGACTCTTCTATTTCTCACTTTTCCTGATACTCCTGTTCGTGCTTGCATTCCTTCTCCTGTCTCTTCCTCTCAGCTGGCACCTTCTTATGAGAATTCTGCATCCTCTTATGTGCCTCCTCTTACCCAGGTTTATAGTCGTAAACCTCGTGTCCAGTAGCTTTCTCTGGATGCTTCTCCGGTTGCTCCTCCTCGATACAATTTTCGTGATCGTAATTTAGTTACGATTCGTTCAGAGGATCGCTATGGTTATGTTGCTACAGTTCTTGCTGAACCTCGTTCTTATCGTGATGCTGTTGTCCATCAGGAATGGCAACATGCGATGGCAGAGGAGCTTGCTGCACTTGAGCGTACTGGTACTTGGGATCTTGTTCCCTTACCTTCTCATGCTTGTCCCATCACTTGTAAGTGGATCTATAAGGTCAAGACTCGCTTTGATGGAACTCTTGAACGCTATAAGGCTCGCCTTGTGGCGCGTGGTTTCCAACAAGAACATGGTCGTGACTATGATGAAACTTTTGCTCCTGTGGCTCACATGACTACTGTTTGAACACTTCTTGCAATAGCTTCTGCTCATCATTGGAATATATCGCAACTTGATGTCAAGAATGCTTTTCTCAATGGGGAATTGCATGAAGAGGTTTACATGCGGCCACCTCAAGGCTATTCAGTTCCAGAGGGTATGGTTTGTCGTCTTCGACGCTCTCTTTATGGCCTCAAGCAGGCTCCTCGTGCTTGGTTTCAACGGTTTTCCTCTGTTGTCCTGGAAGCTGGTTTCTCAGCTAGTGCTCATGATCCTGCTCTCTTTGTTCACACTTCACCCCACAGTCGCACAATTCTACTTCTCTATGTGGATGATATGCTAATCACGGGTGAAGATGCGGAGTTTATTACTTTTGTTAAAGCACGTCTCAGTGAGCAGTTTCTTATGACTGATCTTGGTCCTCTTCGTTATTTTCTTGGCATTGAGATTTCCCCTACTCCTGAGGGATTTCATCTCTCAAGCCAAGTATATTCAGGATCTTCTGGATAGGGCTTCTCTCACTGATCAACGCACAGTTGAAACTCCCATGGAGCTTAATCTTCATCTTTCTGCCACTGATGGTGAACCGTTAGCTGATCCCACTCGCTATCGTCATATTGTCGGGAGTCTTGTTTATCTTGGTGTCACTCGTCCTGATATTACATACTCTGTGCACATTCTGAACCAATTTGTTTCTGCCCCCACACAAAATCACTATAGTCATCTTCGTGTCCTCCGATATCTTCGTGGAACTATCTCGTGTTGTCTTTTCTTTCCACGCTCCACATCTTTACAACTTCAGGGTTATTCTGATGCTACTTGGGCCAGTGATTCCTCCGATCGTCGATCTCTTTTTGCTTTTTGTGTTTTTCTTGGTGGTTCCCTCATTGCTTGGAAGACTAAGAAACAAACAACAGTTTCTCGTTCTAGTGCAGAGGCTGAGTTAAGAACTATGGCCCTTTTGACAGCAGAGGTTACTTGGCTACGATGGTTACTTGAGGATTTTGGTGTTTTTGTGACTTCACCGACTTCTTTATTGTCAGACAATACAAGTGCTATTAGTATTGCTCGTGATCCTATAAAACATGAGCTTACTAAGCATATTGGTGTGGATGCCTCGTATACCCGCACACAGGTACAAGATCAGGTGGTTGCTCTTCAGTACGTGCCTTCCGAGTTGCAGTTGGCTGATTTCTTTACAAAGGCACAAACTAGAGCTCAACACAGGTTCTATCTCTCCAAACTCAGTGTTGTTGATCCACCCTGAGTTTGAGGGGGGGGGGGGTGTTAGATGTGTATTAGATAGGTTGTATTTATGGTTTTATGTCTTTTGGCTTTCCATGTTCCTGTCTTTTGGTTTTCCCTGTATCTGTGTATATATTTGGGCTATTGCCCTCTGGTGAATACAAGTCATGTTCATAACAATGCCAACATGTTCATGGAAAGTATTTAAGTTTTATGAGACAGACAAAACATAAATAGTATGCAACTATACAGTCTTCTTAGTGGACAATTGATGGCTGAAAGCGTCAGCTTCTGCAGTCTGTACATATGGAGTTTTAACTCAGGAAAACAGACCTTAATATAAGTATTCATGCTCTGCAGGGTATAGGTGGCGTTGGTAGTGTTGCTGCTGAGATGCTCACTAGATGTGGCATTGGTCGCCTTTTGTTGTATGACTATGATACAGTTGAACTGGCCAACATGAATAGGTTGTTCTTTCGCCCAGACCAGGTAAGCTTTGCGGCAATTACATGTATTTGCTTCTCTTTCCTTTATGCAAGTTGTCTTTCAGATGGTAACATCTATATCATCCTTATGCAACTAGGTTGGAATGACCAAGACAGATGCTGCTGTGCAGACACTATCTGGAATAAATCCTGATGTTACGTTGGAGGTGAAAACTACTGTTAACCTTTTTCATCTCCAGCTAATTGGTTCTATCATCAGGTTCAAATTACACATTAAGTTTTACTATTAATACATGAGAAAACATATCTGGGTCTTGCCAATGACTTGGTGAATCCTATCTTAATTAATCATTAGACGAACTTGCTCTTACTCCTTTGCGAATGTCTCCTTGTTTTCTATCGTTTCATCTATGGCAATTGATGAATGTTGTATAAAGTACAGAATTTCATTTATAAGTTTCTCTGTTGGATAGTAACCTTGGATAGAGTAATATGCTGTAGTATATTTATTTTCCTTCTGCCCATATGCAAACCAACATTATACTTGTTTTTCTTCCTGCAGAGCTATTCATTAAATATTACTACAGTGAAAGGATTTGAAACATTTTTAGGAAGTCTCAAAGCCAGAAGCTCTGATGGGCGTAACACTGGAGTTGATCTTGTTTTGAGCTGCGTTGATAACTATGAAGCTCGTATGGTTGTAAACCAGGTGTGAACTAGTGAACATTTCCATGATATATAGCTCCATCAACCAAATTATTGTCTCCTTGTTCATGACTAATTTAACCATAGATGCCAGTGTATAACTGCATACTGCATTATTCAGTGGTGCATCATTTGTTCTTTATTCATTTATTCCTTCTTTTCAGGCATGCAATGAACTTGGCCAGACATGGATGGAGTCTGGTAAGTAGAAAAAACTCAGTTAATGATCCTGTCCTCTTGAGAATAAAATCATTTGTGTACTGTACTTATTAGCAACCCCAACAGTTATATCTTCAGCCTTTGTTCTTTCTCATTAGACATCTCAAATTGCATGTGAAATTTGATAATCTACCTTGCCCTGAGAAGTTGCTTTAGATTACTTGCCTTACATCAGTTGACCAAAAACATCTACAAATATACTTTGACTATCATCCTTTGTTGTGAGTTTATAATGTACTACTACTAGTCCCCTGCTTACAATTCCTCAAGCACAGATATTATTGATGCTAATAAATTACATCTTATTGTTATGGAAGTATGAGGACCATGCTAGTGAAATATGAGATGATCTCTTTATGTTGATTTTTGTACCCTTTAATAAAACATTACATGGAAATGCACATGCACTTGGGGAACCAATATGTACAGAATACATGTTAAACATGGTTTCATTCTTTGTGCCTGTATAGCCCTTGGTAAAAAAGGAAAAAAGAACGAACAGTTTGGTTTTGCCATGGACTTCATTTTGTGCTGACGCTTTGCTTGCATTAGTCATTATAATCTCGATTGCATGTGACTTGAGAACTTTATGCATCAGGTGTCTCAGAAGATGCTGTTTCTGGTCATATACAGTTGCTGGTTCCTGGTGAAACAGCATGTTTTGCATGTGCTCCTCCATTGGTAATTTTTTATAAATTTGAGATTTTGTACTGTCTTAATGAACATACTTATACAGTTTACTATTTTATATTATGGATAAAATATTTAGTACTGGCTTTTGCATTTGCATTCTACATAGCTGGTTTAGTTTGGGAGAGGTGTCCACCTGTCCGGTGTCTCCGCACACTTCCTGTTTTTGCATATTTATTTCTCTATTGCTTCCTAGCTTGATTGTGAACCTCTGCACATAGGTTGTTGCATCCGGAGTGGATGAGCGCACATTAAAGCGGGAAGGTGTTTGTGCTGCCTCTTTACCAACTACAATGGTACGCTTCTATTTTTCCTTCTGTTTAGTTCTCATCCTTTTCTCATCTGACAAGGACAACTGTAGTTAAAGCTATGTGGAAGGTTGAATTAGAATGGTTACATTTGTGTAGCTGTTTAGCAGCCTTAAATGCTCGTATAGTTGTATATTTTTGTTTTAGGCCTACATGTTAACAAGTATGGCTACAGTTCTGATTTTAGGTCTAGTGTCTACCACGCTTTTATCTAATCACTTGTGTGTATTGTTGTTGCATTGAAACAAGTTTTTCTTCATTTTTGAAAATAATTTGCAATGAATTGCACAGAGTATTGAGCACTACAGTTCCATGTGATTGTTTATTGATAGAGTGTTTATGTCTAGGGATAGGGTTCTTACACCTATTTTCATCAAAATTCTTACAGTATTACCCTGCTAGTTTGTTAACATCAATTTTCTATCATCTTCCCCTGCCTCCATTTATTTTTGGCTGATAAAAAATGTTCTTTGCAGGGTGTTGTTGCTGGTCTCCTTGTCCAGAATGCTCTGAAATATTTGTTGAAGTTTGGACAAGTTTCCCCTTACTTGGTAATTGCTAACTTTATGTTTTTTCCTGCTCATTGTGGATCCCTTTTTCTTTGAAATTTTTTGGCTGAGAAAAAAACTTTTTTGTAATTTTGTTAGCATTTTTGCTATTTTCTCTATTCCTATGTAACTGCACAAGATTAGATACTTTTTCTGGGGAACAACATGATATACTGTTCATATGAAAAGGGGACTCCACTGTGGCTCACGTTGATTCTGATTCATCATATTCAACTCAACATTCGAGCACTGTACTGGTTAGTTTCTAAAATCTTGTAATGCCCTCTGATTGCGCAGGGATATAATTCACTTAAGGATTATTTCCCAACAATGGAAATGAAACCAAATCCACAGTGTTCAAATCCAGCATGTGTTCAGAGACAGGTGTTGTCTTCTCCCATGTGCCCTCCCTATGTTTACATTGTTGACATTGTGAAAGATCGGGAATGTTACCCTTCTTTTGATCATTTTGTAGAAAGAATATATGCAGTCAAAACCTGCTAGAGATGCAGCAGCAAAAGCTAAGATGGAAGCTGAAGCATCAGCAGCAGATGAATGTCCGGTCCATCTAGATAATGATTGGAATATTAGGTAAGTCATTCCTCATGTACTTTATTGAATTCCTTGACAGGCAAATGTGTAGGAAGTAGGAACTAACAACTTATGTCTAAATTTGGCAATTACTGAGAATTAATAATTAGGATGTCTGTGATCAATTATGCTAATGCTCATTACAGATTCAGTTGCCATACTAATGGAGCTGACAAGATAGTTGACTTGGATAGAACTTTGTACCCCATGCTCAAGCCCACATCATTTCTTAAGCACCCTGCTTGCAGGATTGCATGTGTTTGAAAATGTTTCATGCTAAATTTTAGCTACTCATTATTGTAGGATTCAGAAACTACTAGGCTAGGGTTGCACTTTGGTGCTAATTGTAACTTCATTCTCTTTTTCTGTTGTACTGCATCTTGACATGCTTGATGAATAAAAATGTGGCTTT